GTGCCATTGGTTGATGAGGCTCGATCAGCTGTGCTGAGGGAGCTGTGTTGTCTGCCCTGCAAAGGGTCCTGGCCCTCCACATACGTCGAGTCTCGGATTCAAGCGGGATCAGTCGTCTTTTGGGGAGCTTGGGGAAGAAACGTTCTGCACCCTCCAGCAGCAGTGCATTCCAATCTGAAGGGTCCTGACAGGACTCCATTCTGGATTTCACCCAACTATGCAGTGCCTTGGCTGTGTCGTCCTCCTCACGGACTGCGGCCTGAAGAGCTAGGGAATCATAACGGCGTGTGCTTCCCTTGTGCGGTGGGAGTAACCAGTGGTGCTGGAGGGGGATTTCGGCCTTAATTGGGTAGTGCCCTCCCTTCTTCCAGCTACCCAACGGGCAGTCCGTCCAAGGGGCTGACCTTTTGGCCTTGCCTCCTGCAGTGGATTCCTTAGTAAGGACAAAATCGATTTGCGACTCCACGCCACCTTGAGCAAAGGTGGCAATGTTGTCACAGTGCCAGGTATTAAGGGCCACCAATCGCAACCTTAGCAGCAGGTTGGACAAGTGGGATTCGTCAGGACGATCCTCCGTGGGCTGCTTCACGTGTGTACCCACCAATGGAGGACACGAGCGCAGGGAGGTATTAAAGTCGCCTGCCACGACTAGAGAATCCCGCTTGGGCACCTGCTTGACCACCTTAGACATGACTGATAGTACATGAGCACGGTCGTCCTTGTTAGACTGGATGGACTTGGCCGAGGACCAAGCATGTTGATACACAGCCACAATGACCAGCCTAGTACCTGCCATGTCTGCACGAGCTTCAAGGACCCTGCCTGGACTCCACTCCTTCCAGCGAAGGCTCTTGGCTGTAAACTTGGGTGAGAAGAGAATCATGACGCCATCCGCCCGGGTCGTGGATGGAGCCGCTTTCGGTTCCTGCCTAGTCTTGCGCTTCGCGCCCTGCTTCTGCTGGGTGCTACGTTTGGCAGACTCCGAGGCCGAAGAGATGCAATGCCAACCTGAAACACTGAACTCGCTAGTCTCCGTCCAGTGCGTCTCCTGCAGGATAAGGACGTCGCAGTGGTGGGAGGCTTCAGCTGCCAGCCACGTTTTTAGTTCTCCCCATTGCTGTTGACCTAGGTGCCCCGCGTTCCAAGAGACTACCCGAATGGATCTTTCTAGTCGTCCTGCCCTGCGGGAGGCTGTGCCATGTGCAGGGGAGTCAGCAGTCTGTGACTGAAGCTCTCTTCGAGTCGGTGGGGGCCGCACCCCCAACTGGTTGACTAGGGTCGGTGTCAGAACCTGTCCGCGGTATGGTACGGGTCCGTCACTTCTGATTGTCCGTCTACATGCTGTCTTGAACGAATTCTTGCGAAGAGATGCAAAGTTTTGTGAGTGCACTGGTAGTTGCGCCATCCGCTAATTTCGTCAAGAGACAGAAGCCTAATGACTCCCTCCACTGCGCGGAAGTGGAAACCCTACCGCCTACCCAGTGTTGCAATGTTTTAAACAGAGTCTGGGCCCAGGAATTGGGACCTGGCGGCTCAAAGCAGCTCCTGTGAGAAAAGGGAGAGGACCATGGCGTAGAAGGAGGCACAAACCTTTACTGTTCAGAAAAAGGCCCGGTTGGAACCTCTAGCACAGCAGTTGCGCCCCAAGCCTGTTCGAAACCTCTCATTCAGCGCGGCCGCTTGAGCACTTGTGGCGGCTACTGCTGCTGCTACTGCTACTGCTACTGCTACTGCTACTGCTACTGCTACTGCTACTGCTACTGCTACTGCTACTGCTACTGCTACTGCTACTGCTACTGCTACTGCTACTGCTACTGCTACTGCTACTGCTACTGCTACTGCTACTGCTACTGCTACTGCTACTGCTACTGCTACTGCTACTGCTACTGCTACTGCTACTGCTACTGCTACTGCTACTGCTACTGCTACTGCTACTGCTACTGCTACTGCTACTGCTACTGCTACTGCTGCTACTGCTACTGCTACTGCTACTGCTACTGCTACTGCTACTGCTACTGCTACTGCTACTGCTACTGCTACTACTAGTACTACGACTGCTACTACTAGTACTACGACTGCTACTACTAGTACTACGACTACTACTACTACTACTACTACTACTACTACTACTACTACTACTACTACTACTACTACTACTACGACTACTACGACTACTACTCTACTACTGCTGCTACTACTACTACTACTCCTACTACTGCTGTTGATATAGCTCCTGCTACTGCGACTGCCACTGCTACCTCTACTGCTACTGTTACTGCTACTGCTACTACTACTACTCCTGGAAAACCAAAACTCTTCCTTCTATAACCGCAAATCCCAATTCAGACCAAATCTCCAAACCTAGGGGGTGTTCTGGATATCCGGAGCAGCAGTCCCTGCTTAACAGCGACACAGAGGAGCCACTGGATGGGTTTTGATGAACCAATTTAGGGATTCCGCCTTCTTATGATATAGGGTATATACTTTTCCATAATATATCCATATATCCAGTATACATCCATGCTACATGTCAAGTTCGATAATTTATTGGACTTGCCTCATAATCATCCAAAGTACAGCACTTTGACTCGAGTATACTTATACGCTGGACTTGGGATCCCCAGGGGGCTGCTGACCCATGTCTAGGTATGCGCATGTATGTCCATATATGCCCATGCACGTATGTCCATGTATGCGCATGCATGTCTAAGTCTAAGTATGTCACGCAAAATATGTGTATGCGTGGTTATGTACCTTATGTATGTCGATGCATGTCTACACTACATGCTCGTCTATGTGGGTGGTTGTCAATATTATGGTCCTGTTTTGGGTGCCTAGTATAATACGGCACCTAATATTTAGCGTGCCCAAAAAAGGACCCTAATTTTGACAACTACCCATGTGTGTCTACCGATGTCTATCAATATTGATTATAACGATGTAATCCAACCCCAACGGAAGAACGCGGGCGGGTGAGGAAGGAACGAAGAAAAGGGTTAGGGCACACGTCCCGAAACACCCTCAACCCGAATACTTCCGAAGTCAAAGCGTGCAACGGCTACCCTCTTTTTCATCTTGAGCCAAACATAGTAAGTAGGCGCTCTACACCATCAGATAACATACTACTTTACATGAGGGAACATGGGTGTCACAACTCCCGCCCCTCTGATCGGTAGGGATGACATGCTGTGCAGCCACAGCACGATGGAGGTGATCAATCTCCCTTCACTTGTAAACGGAGGCAGCAACAGCCTTGACCTGCCGTTGGCTCCCATGTGTCTTGACCATCCAGGCAGAACCTTAAGCCCAACGAGGCACGCTCCCAATTTTGAAGAGTAAGTGCCTTTGTCGGAGGTCTCTGTTCATCTGTCTTGATGTGTAGCAGCTTGATATTTTTACATGACGTGCCTGGCCCCCTGCGCACAGGACGACACAGATGACTACACCGAGGCTGCTTTGCTGTCAAAATTCTGTGAACCTGGCTTGAGATTTCCCCCTAAGCATCAGTCGAGGTGGCACCTTGGCTCGTCGTGCGGTCTTTAGCGGGCATGTCAGCGTGTCTTGGCTCTTTTTTACACGTAGGTTATCAGCCGTGACGGCTTTCGGGCTAATTTTGGGTTGTTACGGCCTTAACAGGAACTCCGTACATAATCGTCAGGTCCATGGATACATTATGCAAGCGAACAAGGAATCGCCAATTTGGCATGCAGGAGTTTGCTGAGGTGGCAGGGGACCGTGAATATCAAACAGCGTTGAGTCAAGCGACGGCGACTGGCGCAGCAGCCGACGGCTTCTCGAGCCCAGACGGCTAACCCATTTCGTGTGGAAATGAGCACCCCGGATGAGGACGCGGTTAGGCTTGGAGCAGAGACAGATGAGTCAGCTTTGGGAGACGCTGCATATGGTTTAGGATTGTGCTGCTTCTTTTGGGGGAATGGAAGTTGTAAGTTGCTGGATCCGACCATGAGGGCGCAACAAGGGCTGCAACGCTGCACCAGTTTGGAGCGGGCAAGGGCAAGCTCGGACAAGCACCTGGATTGGAAGAACCTACGGCCAGTGTTGAGCTGGACGAAGAGGCCAACCCAACCGGCGAAAATCAGAGGGAACTGATTTCGGTTGAAGGTGATCGCCTAGAGCAGATAAAGATGTTACTTACTCAGGCTAGAGCTGCTGCTCCAGCTGCTATGGCCCGAGCATTCCCCGGTCCACGAGTTACGATAACTGTCCCTGCTCAAGCTATTGCCATCTCTGCCATGCGCCTTGGCACCTATTTCTCCAGGCTGCCGATCAGTCAAAGCTGCTCCACGCATTGCCTGGCCAACTATTCTTCGGATCTGCCGCAAAGCTGTTGCCACACCAAGATTGCTGCCGCAATGCATCGCCTTGCCCAGCTCCATCATCGGGATGCCCCGGTGAGGAGCCTGCATCAGCCGGTGCAATCATCTGCTACCCTGCTTCGCCTGCCATCGCATGAAGCACTCGCAACCGCCCTTCCAGGAAGCTTGCACATAGCTTTCTTTTCTGCAATGCGTCGCCCAAGGCCGAATCGGCTGCACGCGAGTGGTTCAATCACGAACAACTTTTCAAGCTTCGCAGCAAGAGCCATGCACAACAAGTCAGGCAGAACAGCCTTTCACACTTTGGTGCGATGTGTTTTCCCCAACACCTGCTTCCATGCAAAGTCTTGAGCGCGGCCGGGGAAGCTTCAAAGCAACGAGTGGCAGCTCCAGCTCGAGTTTGAGCCGAAACGGTCCTCTCTCTCTAAGTCTCTCTGTCTGCTCAGGAAGTCCGAAGGCGGGTATATCAAATGTCGTCTTTGGTCAGATTGAGCCAACCCACTATACTGCAGGAACTTCCTGTTAGACGAATCTGACCCTGAAGCCGGAAGGCACCTGTATCCACAGACTCATGCTGAAGTGTGGCTGCTTAACGAATCATCTGACCTGCTTCCGCGCCCCGTCCGAAATGTTGTTTTATTCCATGAGCTTTCGGCATGAGGCCTCTTGCTCTGGGCGAGCAACGACCTGTTGCAGCTGCGAGAATGGAAGAGACAAGTGACTCCCTTTCGACGGGAACCAGATTGGCCATCTGTTGCCCTGTTCAACAGCCTGCAAACTCTTGACTACCATTCTTCGCAGCTGGGCTTCCCTTCGTTTAACGTGGGGTCTCGAGTGCTGGAACACAGCTAGGCCGATGGCAAACATTCCTCCAAGCATGATGTACTTCGCCTCCCCCGGGCGATGCTGTCAGGGGTCCTGTTTGTTTACTACCTCCCCCTTCTGCTGGAGGCAAAGAAGCGAGGAGTCTACCATCCAACCCCAACAAGCTCTGAGCTTCTTCCTGTCACCGGGTGCCTTGGCTTTTGCCGCGGCCCGCTGCTGCTCGAGCTTCGCCTTGGCCTTGGCCCTTGCCGCACTCGCCTCGGCCTCGCTCTTCGCCTCCAAAGTCCAAAGCAGAGCAGAGCTTCTGAGAAGGCGTCCTTTGTCCTACATTGCTTCGAATAACAGCCGCTTGAATTTCAATTTGCTTTCTGCTCTAAGCAGCTTGTCCACCATGCTCCAGACATGCATATCTATTGAACATCTACATAATGTACTGTGAACTTCGCGTGGCTCTAAACCAAGCGGCACTGCTGCTAAAGTGACAGAGAAAGGACAACCGTGGGAAAAAGGAGTTTTCTTGATAAAGCATTATGCCAATAACTTGAACTTGATTGGCACAGGAAGAGGTGTAATCAAAGCAAAAACCATGAGGAGATGTGCTGAAGCTTACCAGGCAGAGCTTTTACAGCTTGCGGCTGGAGGTCCTGGGATCATCAGTGGAAAGCTCTGAGACACAACAAGAAGAGAACTCACTCCTGCCCCTGTCCTGAATCCTGAACTACGAGTAATACGGCGTCCCATATATCGCGACTGTGAATGCCATTGCTGTTTTTGGTATGCTTCTCATGCTTCTGGTGCTATTGTTTCTACAGACTGATTCTGACAGAGAACATGTCTATGGTTCTCATTGATATTACTCTTATCGTGGCCGGCATCGTTGTCATCCTTCTTGTTCGACCACCACTATTGCTGCTGCTGCTACTACTACTACTGCTACCGCCACCGCCACCGCCACCGCCACCGCCGCCACCGCCGCCACCGCCGCCACCGCCGCCACCCCGCCACCCCGCCACACCGCCACACCGCCGCACCACACCGCCACACCGCCACAACGCCACACCGCCACACCGCCACACCCCCCCACACCGCCACAGCCACCGCCCCTGCCGCCGCCTTCGCCGCCGCCAGCCACCGCCAATGCCACCGCCAATGCCACCGCCACCGCCACCGCGACGACCACCGCCACGGCCACCGCCACCGCCAGCGCCAACGCGACGCCATGGAGACGGTGAAGGAGACGGCGACGGCCACGGCCACCGCCACCGCCAGCGGCGACTGCGACTGCTAACTGCCACAGCCACTGCCACTGCCACTGCCACAATGCCCCTGCCCTGCCCCTGCCCCTGCCCCTGCCCCTGCCCCTGCCTGCCCTGCCCCCCTGCCCCCCTGCCCCCCTGCCCCCCTGCCCCCCTGCCCCCCTGCCCCCCTGCCCCCCCCCTGCCCCCTGCCCCTCCTGCCCCTGCCCTGCCTGCGCCTGCGTCTGCGCCTCCGCCTGCGCCTGTGCCTGCGCCTCCTCCTCCTCCTCCTCCTCCTCCTCCTCCTCCTGCTCCTGCTCCTGCTCCTGCTCCTGCTCCTGCTCCTGCTCCTGCCCCTGCTCCTGCCCTGCTCCTGCTCCTGCTCCTCCTCCTCCTCCTGCTCCCTCCTGCTCCTCCTCCTCCTCCTCTCCTCCTCCTCCTCCTCCTCCTCCGTCCCGCTCCCGCTCCCGTTGCTGCTCCCGCTCCCGCTCCCGCTCCCGCTCCTGTTGCTGCTCCTGCTCCTGCTCCTGCTCCTGCTCCTGCTCCTGCTCCTGCTCCTGCTCCTGCTCCTGCCCTGCTCCTGCTGCTGCTCCTGCTGCTGCTCATGCCGCTGCTCCTGCTCCTGCTCCTGCTCCTGCTGCTGCTCCTGCTGCTGCTCCTGCTGCTGCTCCTGCTGCTGTTCCTGCTGCTGCTCCTGCTGCTGCTCCTGCTGCTGCTCCTGCTGCTGCTCCTGCTGCTGCTCCTGCTGCTGCTCCTGCTGCTGCTCCTGCTGCTGCTCCTGCTGCTGCTCCTGCTGCTGCTGCTGCTGCTGCTGCTGCTACTGCTGCTGCTACTGCTACTGCTACTGCTACTGCCACTGCCACTGCCACTGCCGCTGCCGCTGCCGCTGCCGCTGCCGCTGCCGCTGCTGCTGCTGCTGCTGCTGCTGCTGCTGCTGCTGCTGCCGCTACCGCTACCGCTACCGGCTACGGCTACCGCTACGGCTACGGCTACTACGGCTACTACGGCTACTACGGCTACTACGGCTACTACGGCTACTACGGCTACTACGGCTACGGCTACGGCTGCGGCTACGGCTGCTACTAATTAATAACAATAATGACATGTGCTATCGACGTTTAGGGAGAACGCCGAAAAAGGCTAGCACGAAGGACGACGGCATTCCCTTCTTTTGTATGGGATTCGAGCGCATCGCGCCGGGTCCGTCGCCTCCGCCCAAAACTAGGCTGGCCGGCGCCGGGGAAGCTTTGAGCTACCCGACGCGCCGCCCGTGGGCGGGGGACGACCCTTAAGTCTCTCAGCAAACGGCTTCGCCGATATTGGGGAGGCCTCCTCCCCTGTACACGAGGGTGGCAGAGGGTGGGCCGAAAAAGCGACGTCGAGCCGGGACAGCTGCCGGCACGACGAGTCGCTCATGTCCATGCGCACACACGTGTGCTACACGACATGTGCTATCGACGTTTAAGGAGAACGCCGAAAAAGGCTAGCACGAAGGACGACGGCATTCCCTTCTTTTGTATGGGATTCGAGCGCATCGCGCCGGGTCCGTCGCCTCCGCCCAAAACTAGGCTGGCCGGCGCCGGGGAAGCTTTGAGCTACCCGCCCGGCGCTCCCCACCCCCACACTGCGCCGGCACAGCCGAACTACCGGAAATACTCAAATTAATGGCACAAGCTCTCAGCTCCGAACCCGGGTCCAGCCCATCGCAATCGCCGTGGCAATGTCGCCGCGCAACACCGTGTCCGCCACGTTGACCGCGGGGTCCCTCCCATAGCCCTTGGTGAGGGCCCACTGGCCGGCGACATTGTCGCCGGCGCGCCAACGTGTCAGCGCCAGGACCTGGGCGACGATCTCGAGCACATAGACGAAAGCTCGCCGGGAGCCGAATGCCACCAGGAAGGAGGCCGGCGCCTGGCCGTATAGTCGTAGTAGGTCTCGCCGCCGACTCTGACCACGTACCCCCATCCGTTTCTGCCGCGGGCCCCCTTTGGTGTGGGCAACCCGGCAGGAAACCAGCCTTGTGCTTGATCTCGCCGGGCTGGAAGAACGCATCCGCGTACACCAAGGCCTGCGGCGCGCCGTCGTCGACGAAGGGCGCAAACCGGGGCCGGATGTTCCGAAGAAGCTGTCGAAGTGCCCGAAGTGCCGCCGCCAGCCCCGCCGACAGGTCGGGGAAGACTCGGCCGCCGCGTCGTGAGCCCGAGCGTAGAGCGGCTTCACGCCTTGCCGAGGCAACCAAAGGTCGACTGCGACGCGAAGCTGAGCCTGCCCGCCAGCTTCTGCGCCGCGTGTGGCTGAAGGGTGTTCGTCCCGGAGGATCTTGGCCACCTATAGATGGGGTGGGAGGGACACGCCGGTCAGCTCAATCGTCATCTCCACTCCTTGGACCACCTGGTCCGCCAGGGAGTGGAAGGCGGACTCCGCGAGCTCCGGGAGGTCGAAATCATCCACGAAGTGGCCGCCGACCAACCACAACAGGACACGGGTCAGCGCCTGCAGCGCGTCCGCGGCCCTGTTAAAATTCCAAACCGATGCCGCGGCGCCGAAACACATAGCCAGATGAAACCAGAGTGTCAGCCCCGCCGGTGTCGCCAGGAATGTGCCAGAATGAGCCGGGTGCCGAACGGCCCACTGCCGGTAGGCATTGAGCAAGTCGTGCCCAAAGAGCCGGGCCGCCGGGACACCACGGCTCCCTGCCAGTTCCACCACCCGCCGAATGGGTGGGAACATCATGCGCAAGGATCGTGGAATTGTGTCCCGAGGGCCGCCAGTCTTCACCCCGACGCACCTTGACATTCCCTTCGCCGTCCTCCTGCACTATGGCAAAGGACGCCGCGGCAAAGTGGACACCAGCCTGTCGGCGCCGGGCACAGGCACCCACCGCACTCCGGAACCCCTGGGTGAGGTCCGCCGTGATGCCCTCGATGTCGGGGTACCCCACCACGCCGAGGAGGAGGACCGGGATCTGTGTTGGCCGGTCCTTGTCCGCCGTGGCGTAGGTGCTGCGAACTGGCGCCGCCGCCCGGTCTGCCACCATCTCCCTGATCTCTTCCAGCACCTCGCCGCGGATCCTGACTACATCGTGGCGCCAGGTGGCCGTGCACTCGGGGAATGTCTTCGGTGGCTTGTCGCCGGATGCAGGGTGCGCGGTCATCGAACTCCGGCCAGGAGTGCGCGATGGGAGCCATGCGTCGCCGTGCCGTGCGGTTGAGGTTCCGGGCCGCCACAGGTAGCCCGTGAGCTGGGGGCCTGCGCCCGCCGCCACCGCCAGGTCCGCAAACGGCGTCATCAGCGACGACGCCAGCAGGCACCGCGGAGCCGGAGGAAGGCCCGGAGCCGCCATGACCAAGCACAGCGCCGAAGGGGAGACCTAAGCCGAGACACGCCGCAGGCAGGCGGCGAAACGAGAGCCAGAGAGCTAGCGCCGGCATAGAAGTCACTCCGACCGCCGGTTACAAATCACTTCCACTAAAGCACTCGGTGCCCCGCCGCAGCCATCTTTTTTCTCACGACGAGGAGCTGTCCGACTCGGACGCCGAGCTGGACGCCACCGGAGAATCCACCGGCTCGGTCGGTGAACCCTTTACCTTCCCCGTTAGCCGGCGCAGGGAAACAACGGGCACACCAGGCTGCGGACGCCGGCTTCTCAGACACCCTGAAGAAGCGCCGGATGCCGTAAGGCCATGCACCGCACCTCGACCTCCAGAGGAACTGCTCCGTGCTAGCTTCCGCCAGGTCCGGGCGGTGCACCTTGGTGCCCTTCTCATTGTAGATGAGGTCTTCTCGCGCCCGGGTCTCCACCCCCACTTTGCGCCTGCCCCCGAGGCGGGGCTTCGACCAGGTGCACCGCCGGTGAGTACTCCACCTGCTCGTCCGGTCCCGCCGGCAACACAGCCGGACCTGGACAGCCCTACGTCGGTTAATAACCGATGGGACATTTTGCAACGCGTTACGTCGGTTAATAATTAACTGCTGGGACGTGGTATATTAACCGCTGGGATGCTAAATTATAACCGCTGGGATATCAAATAACCGCTGGGA